ATGATTTTAACAAATTTGAATCTACACTACCTGAGGATGTGCCCCGCGAGTCATGATTTTAACAAACTAAAATCTGCTCTACCTGAGGATGATTCCACATGAGTTTCATCTTTCCTAGTCCAGTGGTTCTGGAGAAGAAGATTTTTAAAGATTTTTCCTATATATTCCTATGTAAAACTTGTGGAGAAGATTTTTTGAAAGTGCCATTAATTTTTAACAAATTCATGATTATCTCCCCTTGGAAAAGGGTGTGGCCTTTCATTTGAACAAACTTGCATCCCCTTTACCCAAGGATACTTTGTGCCAAGATTGGTTGAAATTGGCCCAGTGGTTCTTGAGAAGAAGATGATAATGTGAAAAGTTTACGACGACAACGACGACGACAACGACGACTACGACTACGACAACGACAACGACAGACAACGGACACATTTTGATCAGAAAAGCTCACTTGAGCCTTCGGCTCAGGTGAGCTAAAAAGCAAATTCAAAAGAGCTGTTCGGGACATACCTGGTAAGACTGATTTTGTAAAGTTCATTTTTGAAAATTTCTTTCCACTCTTGAAATCATGGGCATCATATCGTGGTTTTAAGCTTATCAGTTCCTAAAAGACCAATGAAGATCATAGTATTTATTGATTTTGTAAATTTTTGAAAGGAACATCAATAATGAATATTTATAACGTATACAAATTGTGCATTTTTTAGTTTCAACTGCAAGCATTTACTTTGTTTGTCATCTAATCATCACAAAAATTTAAAAGACTGTCAAATATCTGCTTATAAACATTATGTATTCTCACATTGAATTCATTGGTTAGATGTTTCTGTGAATTTATTCTGTTGACATCTCCATAATGGTGTAGAAATTCGTCTTTCTTCTTATATTGGGGTTTCCTTCTGAAGAACTCGTACAAAGCATGATAGAGAAATACGTACTGGTCCTAAAATAATATAATGTAAAACGATTCTTCTTACCTAGGTCTATGTAAATTCAAATTTTAAAACTAGATTGCATTCATCACAAAAAAATTCAGTTTTTATCTTAGCAGTTCACCTACAGAAGCTAATATTCTTTTTATTCCTCTTTTTATTCTCCTCTCTCTCTCTCTCTCTCTTTCTCTCTCTCTCTCTCTCGATGTGTGTTTGAGTTAGTATATTTTTATCTCTCTTTCGTTCTTTTTTTTTAATTCAAGATAGAGCAATATATAAGGAATGTATGACTAAAAATTGCAGTTTCTTTGTTTACGTACCACATTTTGTATCATTGTCATCCTGTCTTTACGCATGGCCTTGACATACTCTATGACATTGACCTTGCCCTTGTCCTTGCCATATTTGGACAAAACGTCAAGGGCAATGAATGTCCCGGTTCGCCCAATTCCCGCACTGTAACACATTTTTATATGAAGAGAAAAATTACATTACAGTTTAGCGATCAAAGATAATAGGAAAATTTAAATTTGAGTAGTTTCTTAAAAAGTAAATGGGTAGAACTTTTTTTTTCAATTTGAAAGTACTTAATATCTATTTTCAGAACAATAGCATTTTATATAACGGATATGATGCTCAAAATTTCGGCCATTAATGTATAACGTTTGTCCTTAGTTATTACCTGCAATGGACAATAATTGGATGCTGAGAAGGTTTTATTTTGTGTCTGAAGTGTCGATGGAATACAACTAAGTTCAGAGGATTTGGAGTCCCATGATCGGGCCAACGGGTGTAATGATACTGTACGACCGTCCTTGACCCAGTGACCTTAAAATAAGCATACACACTATTAACGTATGATCTTTAGTGATAACGTCCATTCAACTCAATAATATAAGGAATATTTTTTTCTTCATCTAATGCTACAAGTATATCTATATACCCTCTTTTTCTGCACAGTCATTTTTCTCTCTACGAAATAAGCATATACTTTCTCTTCTACCAAGGTTACAGAAAATGGATTGATTTCCAGATCCTTTCCTTCATCAGGCCAGTATTGATGACATTTCACCTAAAATGAGGTTCATGATAAAAATAATTTTGAATTTATAAAAAGAGGATATAAAACTGTCATGTTTCAGCCAAGATTGAAATACAATTCATGGGTAGAAATCTTTAAAACTGTAATTTCAAAACCAGATTTAAGGAGACTTAATCAGGAAAACTTGATAACTCCATAATCAGAATGTTTTTTTTAACGTTTGATTCAAGTATAACAATTATTTAAATAATATCTTATATATAAAAATAAATTTCTTTATATACTAAAATACCTTTGGTCCCTCAATCAGATTGGTCAACATAACAATGTATTCCACATGTTCCTGCCATATCATTCTCCAGTGGTCTATTAAAGTATTTTCACGTGGACCTAAAAGAGTACGCTTGTTTAGTAAGCTTTTAGTGACAATAATATGCAAAGGTTTTCTTGATAAACATTTAAAGCTACTATGATTTATAAATATGTTTCAGATGGAAGGCGAAAATGTATTTTTCTTACCTTGACAAGCAATGAATTCTCTTTTCCCCTCCATATTCTAAATCACACATTTCACAATACATTTAAAATATTAACAATAATATCATGTACACACTATAATAACAAAATATTTGATGTAGTGAACAAAGAATGATAATCTGTGTTTATTACCTCAATATAGTTTGCATTGATGTAATCGGAGGTGAAGCCATTACCAACTTCTAAAATTACGCGGGAATGATCGTCTGTTATAAAAATTGAAATTCCATTATTATTGTCTATTGCATGAAAATAAAATGCTACAAGAGTAAAAGTACCTAAAAGATATTTCATGGTAATGCAGAATATCAAAACACTTTTAAAAGATATTGAAAATTCAAGTATTTTCAGCGTTAGTATTATTAAATTCAATTTTCAAACTGTTTAGATATAATATTTCACGAATAATAAATATTGTAGAATAAGTTCAAGTAGTAAGTAACTTTATATTGAATATTCAGCCTGACCCACGCCTAAAACTTTTCAATCTGCTGACGTTGAAATACATTTTTCACAATTGAATTACATATTTTATAGGAAATTTTTTTGCTACACTTAATGGAAGACAAATTATCAGGAATGAATTTAGCTACCCAAGTTAAAAGTGAAGTTGTTGATAAAAATATGCCAACTGTTCAAACAAAGATTAAACCGAATAAATTATGCAGCTATTAAATCCATTCTTTAAATATCAAAATTTAAAGAATATTAATTTTTACTCAATGGATTTACGAACCTGTTTTAAAATTTTAATTGACATTCCAAATTTGATGAAAGAATTGTTTATATACGTTCTAAATGAAAATGAAATAATAAATGATAAGAAGGGATATTTTTACATGGAAAAGTGGTTTTGAATCTGTTCCTGGGCATGTTTTCTGCTGTTTTAGCTGTTTCACAGGCAAATCGTTCTCCATAAGGAAGAGACTAAAATAGAAAGATACGTCTTAATCATCAGAGGATATTATGAAATGTAATGAGAACGCTGTAAATTGGATTCATAAAAATTATCAAAGAATAACTTTATTTTGTATAAAGAATGGTCATTATTTTATAGATGAAGTACACATTATACATTCAGAGCTTGAAAGGGGAAAAAAATATAAAATATTGATATGAAAAAGGCCTTAGACCAAAAATGTGAAATTGCACAAACATATCTTAATGATAAATAATTCAATAATCTTATTTTATTAAAAACTGACCTTGAACTCCTTCTGAAATCCTTCCATTTCATTGGCTTCTTTCTGAGTGATTATCTTCAGTAGATCTGACACAGCGACATCCTTAGCCACAGACAGATCATTATAATACACAGCCTCCTCGGGGTTCTCTATTTGTGGTTCTTCCTCTGGATCCTCAATCGTGACGGGAACATTTCCTATGTTGGTGTATAACTTGTTGTCAGCTACAATGAAAAGAACATATTTATTTTATTTATTTTTCTTTTTACTTCGAGGTCAACGTAATAATTCCACAAACATAGTAGCTTATTTCGAAACATGACAGATGATTAGGCTGATTTAAACCAACTTGTTATAAATGATATTAATATAAAAATCCAGGTATTTTCTTTCGTATTGGCTTCTGAGCTTGACTTCAATCACAAGTAAATAGTATTTAAAATGTTAAACAGGAAAAATTATTATGAAACCAGGCGTATGAGCATTTCCTGTATATACAAGATAAACAACCTCTTGGAGAAATATTTAAGTTATCCGAACTGTAAGAGACAGAGTGTTCCGACTTGTTATTGCTCTTTTGCCTCCTGAATCTGAAATGATATAAACTTTTTTAAAATACCTTTTGAAAAGGAGCAAAATGACTTTTGCCTGTCTGTCAAAATGAATGTACTGTTAGTATTCTCGAAGTCAATCGTTGCAAAATATTAATAGAGACTAACAATTTATTTTAATACAAACTATCATTAATTTTACTTGTTATTTCTCTTGGATTTTCTTAATTCGAATCTTTTATGAATAAATGTTTTACATTGTATTCATATACATGTAGTTTTATGCTTACCTGATGAGAAGAATGACAATTATTACAATCATTATAACAAAAACGACGCCTCCTAGTCCAGCACCAATTGCAGACACAGGAATATCTGACGGACCACTCCGAGAGAGGGCTAAGAAAAAAGATTTGTTTTTCCGTTTAAAAAAAGGGGTAAGAAGGTACATATGTAATTAAAAGATTGTATTCGCAAATAGCTCTTTGAAAATGAAAGGTATAGAAGTATCTAAAATATCTGATTAAAAAAGGGACATTACACAGACTAAGTATCGTGAACAAATTTGAGAACAAAACATACAGCTGTACAATGTACTGATTTTCACTCCAGCTTTACATTGATAGAATTTGTATTTAATTTTTTTTTTCAATAAGAGTAGTTCATATGTATCGTTCATTGTTGTGTAGAAAATTTAGGTATGCATATACCATAAACACAGTGAAGTGCAATTTGATGATAAAAATCAACGCATTTAAATTGTATTTTCCATTACTTTTATGTAAAAAAAATAACTAGTTCTTACCTACGCCACATTGATCACCGACGAAGCCCTGTTTACAACCATCAAGACAGGTACCATTCTCAGCGTGACAAAGCCCATTTAGACAACTTCTACTACACTTTTCTGTGCAGTTGGCACCGTGAAAGTCCGGTCTGCATTCTGAATTAACAAAAATATATAACTTTTCATTCTATATTTTGAAATACTCAGCTCCAAATATATCAAATTACGAAGATTCGTGGCATTTACTCGGTATTGTGGAGAAATACTTTAAGAACGACCATTAAAAAGAGAACCATACTCCACAACGCTCACCCATGTTTGCTGTATTTTATAATATTTTACCCCTAGGTGCAAATATCCCTATTCAAATTATTTTAGATCAGCTAACGTGGCCTCTCCACTGAAAGTTGTTTAAATACAACATAAATATGGATCTACACTACTTGAGAATGCTACCACATTGAATGATTCATTATGGTTTTCCGCGATCTTAAGAATTTTTGAAAGATTTGTCTCCTATATTATTACTACTGTGGACCAATCTTTAAAAATAGACTCTCACTCAACATTTTACAAACGTTTGTACCTTATGACGCTTTCACTCAAAATCCAGCTTTCATGGTCAAGTGGTTCTTGGGAAGAAGTTGATTTTTAAGATATAACTTAATAAACTTATTTCAATGTTTAAATTAAATTCCCTATGGTGGCATAACACATACAACCTTTCAAACAATTTACACTTTACACAACCAATATCTCGGAATGCTTCCACATACGTTTTAGCATTCCTGCTCGTTGTTCTTCAGATTAAAATAATTTATCGACCTAATTCTACCTTTGTCTTTTCTGAATCCTCTTCCTTAATAAGGGAATTTAAAAAATTAGGAGTTCTCTTTTCATGTAACAGAAATACCATGTCGTAGTGAGCTTAGCATGCAAATATGCTGCTAGACAGCAAGACAGACGCTGAACAAAGTAAGATCAAAAAAGCTCATTTTCAGCTCAGATGAGATAAAAAGCTACATGAACATTTTGTCAAAAAAGTGAATTTATATTTTATATATACATAATTATATAATCAGATTATAATTGATTCAGAATTACGTTTTAAAACTTATTATACCATTGCATGTTGATCCCTGCCATCCGATTTTGCATGTGCAGTTACCAGTGTTTCTTTCACAGACTAAATAACATCCAAAGTTGCAGCCCATCTGACAATTGTCCCCAAACTTCCCATCCACACATCCATTGTCACAGGCCCCAGTTTCTTTATTGCACGTGTTTTTACAGTTAGTATTACACCTGATGCTACAGTCGTTGCCATGATAACCAACCCGGCATTCTCCAGAACAATCACCACTCGTTCTGTCACAAGTAGTAGGGCAGGAAGAGCAGTTCTTGTCACAGTAATATCCAAAATATCCAGGCAAACATCCTTTATCGCAGTATCCATTACTGTTACAAGTACCACCTTTACACCTACTACTACAGGGCAGGGCACAATCAGAACCATAATGTGTTGATACACATCCTAAGATAATTAACACATGTTCGTTATATTTCATCTTATATTAATATCCATGGACAAATATTTTCATACATACTGTCATTAAGAATTATATTGATTATCTAGACTTTCCCTTATAATTCAGTGGGTTCATAGCTGATTTATGCTACGAGATAAACTGGAGTATATTGTCAATGTTTGTCGAATATGCACCATTTTAATTGATTTGAATGAATCAAATGTTAAATAAAACGGTTAGTTAACTCATTATATTTTGAGATACCCCTTTTTAGGGTCAACGAGTGTGCATATCGTTCAAACCTATAGCAAACCTTTTGGAAATACCTGGAAGTTTCATAATATAAGAATAATCCATATGTATGAGGAATGTTACTTGATAGACATACACATAATTTCAATGCAGTTTGTCTACGCAGAACTTGTAGATCCCCTGTTTGATGTAGATCTCTGACATTCACCTACTTACATGTATCGTATCATTTTAGTTGAGAAGAGACTAGAGACTAGATTTTCTGTCAACTTTCTAGCATTGTCGGCAAGATCTTCGTAATACAGCTTAATTCAGTCGTACATTTACTCCTTTTTAAAAGGAGAGGGACTGGATATTGCAGTTCGATATATACATAACATTATTATACTTCTGTTAAAATAACTATCTTTTATAGTTCATGCATAGCAAAGCTATACCCCGGGTATAGTTTTTGTTATTATACCTCTGCTTTTTTTTCTATATAAAAATAAGACGATTAAACATGCTATTTTTTCTAAACAATCTCTACCGTGAAATAGTTTTTGTGCTATTTGCCCATGGTGAATAGTCCTTAAACTATTCAACGGCAGCATTCGATTTCCCTCGCTTTTCATCTCTGAACACTTCTGATTTTACATGGATTGTGACGTATATATTATGACGTAACAAAGGTAAAGTCAGCATCGGTATAATAAAACACCTATTTACTGACTACTCGGACAATAACAAGTTTATCGTCCCCCTCGACAGCAAACTATTTCCCTCGGCTGCGCCTCGGGAAATAGTTTGCTGTCGAGGGGGACGATAAACTTGCTACTGTCCTCATAGCCAGTAAATAGGTGTATACTATCCACCCTCGGAAAATTTTCATGCAATTTTTTCCCTGCAATTTCTGCCTCCAATTTTAATTTACAGCGATAAATCTATTGACTGATGATGTCATAATGACTTCAGTAGCATCATGGGGTCAACAGGATTTCAGATTATTCTTGCAGTCTTATCTTACTCAAAAAATTCAAACCTTAGAAATTATATTATACATCAGTATAATAAAACGCTTATCTACTGGTTATGAGTGGGATAGCTCTTTTATCAAACCTATTCCCCGAGGGACTGGATATTGCAGTTCGATATAAACATAACATTATTATATCTCTTCTGTAATTACTCTGTATAAAACTAATACTATAAAACTGCCTATTTCCCCGAGAAGAGACTATTGCCCTCATCTTAAGACTCCCTGAAAAAATCATAGCTACTCCCTGGGACAACTCCCTCGTGAATATTTACTAGTAATTTAAACCAATCAAAGTGTTCAGTGGTTTCAAGAAGTCTAGAGTCTATGACGTCATGTTATAAGCAACGTAACTATGACGTCCAAACATTTCGAAATGCGATGTCAAAATCATACCTGAATTCTAGCAAAATGAAGACAACGATAATTCGAAATGTCATTAAAATACTTTTTAAAGATAATCTAATTGTTTTAGGACATGATGCATTACTTATAATACAATATGTTAAACCGCATGCATTTGTAATTATGCCTCTACAGTGTTTTTTAAATAGAATATCTGGTAAAAGGAAAAGTTAAATTGCCTGTAATTGTTTCCGTATAAAAAACAGTTACATGTATGGAATGGGAACTCGGGAAATAGCATTTGCCGCCTCGGGAAATAGTTTCCTCTCTCGGGGAACTATAAATTTGCTATTTCCCTCGTACCCATTCCATTACTGTATATTATTTTCCAATGAGGGATTCTGCATTTTTTTTTCAGAAACCTTTTATCTCTTTATCATTCCTTTCATAACACAAGAACTCTTTCATGTACAGTTCGAAAGATGAAGAGTAATGTACTTCTTAGCAGATTAAAGTTAGGGACTGTGTAAATAGTAGTTCCTATGGGAAGACGTTGATATAGCATTGTATAAGACTTCGATATATTCAACTGGTACTATCCACCGCGTGTTTGAGATTAATAGAGGATATTCATATTGTGTGATTTCATATTAGCTTTATCCAACGAGTTGAAATGGTGTGTACTATTCGCGAGACTTCCCTTAACAAAAGCTTGAGACTTCCCCTGTGAAACAACATGAATGATTTCAAATTGATGACGCATAGCTTGATGAAGCAGCACAGTTGATGTTGACTTGCCTCGAATGAAAAAAGATCGTGTTCAAAATTTAGGATTTTTGCTCTCTGCGTCTTTGAAAACATTGAAAATTGCTGGAGTTTACATAAAAAACTTCTGATTGAAAGTTGTAAGGACGGAAGGATCGTGAATTTTTATCGCCCGGATCAAAATATCTGAGGCGTATATTGTTTTTGTCCTGTCTGTCTGTTTGTCTGTTTATCTGTTTGTCTGCAAACTCTAACCTTTGCCATAACTTTTGAACTATGAATGAAAGAGACTTCATATTTGGTATGCATACTCCACTAATTAAGCTCTCCCAAATGACTTCAAGGTCAATGACTTTGTGACCCTGACTTTGACCTATATGCTAAAAATATTTTTTTTATTGCAAACTTTAACCTTCCCAATAACTTTTGAATAATAAAAGATAGAGACTTCATGTTTGGTATGCATACACCACTGATTACACTCTTTTATATGACACCATGGTCAATGACCTTGTGACCTTGACTGTGACCTATACACTAAATATAGCTTTTTTGTCGGCAAACTTTTACCTTCTAAAAGATAGAGACTTAATAGTTAGCATGCATACTCCACAAACTAATCCCTTTCACGTGACACCAAGGTTAATAACCTTGTGACCTTGACTGTGTTCTATATACTAAAACATAGCTTTTTTGAACCTTCACCATAACGTTTGAGCCATAAGAGATAGAGACTACATATTTAATATGCATTCTTCATCAATCAAGTTTCTTCAAGGGAGACCAAGATCAATGACCTTGTGAACTTGACTGTGACCTATATGCTAAAAAAATGTTTTTACAACCTTGTTGCCGCCGGGCGCATTGTGTTTCACAAACACATCTTGTACTATTTGTGCGAGGTCTGTACATAACGTGCAAGGCTAGGCAAGGCTACTTGTAGATTCATGGTTGATCCACGGTATGTTACACCTACATTATTAGGTAGGCATGCGAAGTATAATATAAGAGCGCATTTTGAAGGTTTTAAAGGAATTATAACAACAACTTAACTGCTAGAACATATTTTCTCCTAAAATCATTAAAACGAAGGGGGGGGGGGGGAGTCCGTCTTAAAGTAGCTTATATAGGCACTTTGATAAAATAAAACACTTCTTTGACATAAGAGTTTTTTTTTTCTTGCTTTTATAAACATTTTTGCTCTTAACATTCATTTTATACGGTCAAGAATTTTTACAAATAAAAGTTTCAATAAAATAAATTTTGAAGCGAGGGACTGTGTCAAAAGTTTAATTGATAAAACATCTACCTGTGAATAAAGCATAAGTTTATCTCATGGGTAGTATCCCATACAAGTATGAGATAAAACATAAGACGTGATTAACATTTGGGTATGAGGTTATGGATTGACGTATCAGACATATATTAAATCTTTAGATTGATTGATTGTATACTGTTTAACGTCCCTCTCCAGAATATTTCACTGATACTGAGACGTCACCATTGCCGGTGAAGGGCTGCAAATTTAGGCCTATGCTCGGCACTTAGGGCCATTGAGCAGGGAGGGATCTTTATCGTGCCACACTTGCTGTGACACGGGGCCTCGGTTTATACGGTCTCATCCGAAGGACCGCCCGATTTAGTCGCCTTTTAATTTACGACAAGCAAGGGGGTACTGAGGACCTATTCTAACCCGGATCCCCACGGGGTTTTAATCTTTAGAGATAAAGCAACTATAATTATGACCTAACTTTTGTTAAATCACATTATTGATACATGTATAAAAGAAATATTCTATATCGCTATTTATTAAATTGGAACTATGCTGATAAATAAAAGTAGGAACATATAACTTAAGAATTTAATTTTTTTTATATCGCTGATAATATTGTTTGTATTGATATTAGGTAAAAAATAATAATTAATATTATTATTATAGAAAAAAGAGTGGTTATTTAATTCGAATCACTAAATTTCAAATAATATCATTACAAAATCGTAGAAAATCATGGCGCCCTATCTCAATATACATAATTAAATAGTTTAAAGGATATATTTAAAGAAATATCATATTTAAATTTTAATCTTAGTACTTTGAATAATTCATAAGAAATTATATTTAAGCTTACTATCACATGTGTTTCCAATCCAGTTCGGTATGCACCCAATGCTGCAAAATCCATTCAGTTGATTACATAGACCACGAACACAAGTGGAATTGCAAGTGTGATTGCAAAAAGTACCATAATACCCATCATGACAGCCTCCATCACAATGACCACTGCTAAAGTTACAAATGTTATTTTTACATTGTAGACTGCATAGCTGCCGGCATTGGAAACCATAGTATCTATCTTGACATCCATTTTCACATTTACCATCATATTTTCTGCAGGATTTCGTGGAACATGTTGTACTGCAAGGAGTTTCACATTTTGCTCCATAATACCCAGGAACACAGTTATAACTACATTCTCCCGTATTCTGCTTGCATATCCGTGGATCGCAGTTAAGGTTACAATCCTGTGTACAATAGTACCAGTAAAAACCGTCTTCACAGCCATTTGTACATGCTCCATTACCATAGTCACACAGTCCTTCTTTGCAATTTGGACATATTCGTGTTTCACAACGATTTCCAGTGTAAAAGCTTTTACAGGAAAAGCAATTACCATTTCTTTCGCAATAGTTCTCTGAGCAACCGTAAGGGCATCGTTCTGTACACTTGTCTCCATAATAACCATTTTTGCACCCACGCGTACAGTAACCATTATCATTGCATTGGTTATAATTGCAGTTCAAGCTACATTGTTGAATTTCTGAAATTTAAAAAAAATCTTATGAAATATCAGTTGCAATCAGACATATACATTTAAACACGTACTGGTAACGTAACAAACAGACCTACATAGAATTAACAACCCTGCCTACCCGTGTCCTATTTAAAAGAGGCATAATTTCGGTGAGCATTGTAAGATGAATTAGGTCTGGGGTAAAATTATGCAAATTTTTAAATCCACAATCCGAGGAAAGGAAAAAGCGGGAGGGTATATAGTAGGGATGGCAATTTGTAACCGGTTAATCGATTAATCGGTCGGAACGATGCCAATCGGTTTAAAAAAAACCGTAATCGGTTAGTCGGAAAAAATAAAATATTTGTAAATTTGGGCGCAGTTTCCTTAAAATCCCTTGTTTTTTCAGAAAGGAAAGCGCTGAATAATTTATCTATTTTTTTTTTTAACACGTACATCGTTTAATTAAGAATATTTGAAGTAATTATAGCTCTCCAGATTGAAATCGCAGGGTGATTGGTCAATTCGTTAAATGTTAATTACTGTTTTTATAACATCACGCCGTTACCCACATAGTCCTGTGGTTTTTTAAATGATATTAAAAACATCACCTTTAAGCACTTTTACTTATAGTATGTCTATACTTATTTTGCCGTTATCTATTAAATTGTATTATTATAAAGAACGTTGTGAATTGTAAATAAAGTTCAGACATAGTCTAGTTTTGATTATGACAACAACACAGAATGAACTTCTTTAACATCTGCGTTGGAAAATTATCCCTGTCTGATTTCTTAAGCAAGATTCATGGTTTTCTTAATTTTTTCTTGTCTATTGAAATTGAAATGAAATATACTCTTATGTACAAAAAATTCCCTGATCAAAATAATAAATAAAATGTAACTTCTAACATCGTTTTTAGCCTTTTTGTGTATATAAAAAAGTCAAAATGTATATTTTGATACGACTAACCGATTAATCAGTCGGAACGTTTTGCGGTTAATCGATTAGCAATTCTGCAATCGATTGCCATCCCTAGTATATAGTAATCGGCATGTTCGTCCGTCCGTCTAGCTATCTGTCCGTCCGTCCGTCTGTTACACTTTGAGTTACCCATCTCTTATCCGCAACTCCTTTCATACCGCTGAATGAAATTTAATGAAACTTTTACAGAATCCTAGTACATATTGCCATTGTGCACCCCCTATTCTACTTTTTGATCTGAAATATATTTTAGATTTTCCAGAGCAAAACATGGACACTGCCATTATATTCACATGGGAGGTGGGTGGTATCATTCAGTGAGCTCATTGCTCAGAGTACCTCTTTTGTATTGACATCATTTTGATATACAAAACATAAGAAACAGAAGCGAAATATCTTAGACCGTGTTACTAGAGAGCATGTGTATCTTGGTAACTGTGGACTAAAATCGGTGTTTATTAAAATTACTCTGTGTTTTATTAAGCTAAATATTTTAGCATGATCGTCCAACGAAAATGTTTGAATTTTTATTTTCTTTGTCGCAAATTCTAACATTGATCACATCATGCAATTGACGTCCGTGGATTTTGATCTTTTTCTTCGATCGAAATTGTTTAGGTCTAGCTTAACTCGTCCAACTAGGGGTTGTCTTTGAAAAAAAAATATTAAGCATTCCTGTGAGAAAGATATACGTATCTTCGTATTTGCTGAAGAACTTCATTCAGAGGTGAATGTGACAAATGCGCGAAAGAGAAATTGAGAATTTTTTTTCATTCTTGGATTGCTTGAACTTTGCTTTACGTCAGTTAGAGATTTTTTCACAGACGTCATCATATACTGGTGAGGCATTCAGAAGTTGGACGGTTATTCGCTATTCGCTATTCGCCATTCGAATGGCGAACCGCAGGCTGTCTGCCGTTCGCTCTTCAAATTACCGTAAATGTCCTAATAATTTTTTTTTCAAAAAACTTTAAAAACGCATCATAATCCGTGTTTAAGAAGAAAAGCAAAGACTTCACTTAAAGAAGAGGACTGAGGACCCCAAACCTATGCAGCTAGCCTGACCAAAATGATGACTGTTTAGCTAGCCTGGTAGAACTTGGATAAACAAACTGTTGAATACAATAATAAGTATTTGTACAATGTACATCTTCAAATTTTTACAGGGGAGGGGTATGGGAGGAACCCTTCCACTGTCAAATGGAATTTATTGTACAAGACTGGGAACCCATTTAGCTAGTTCGGAGATAATTGG